TCTACAGACTGTCGGTTCACACCCCATCACAAGCCAGCAAAACATCCACGAAACAAAGAAAGGTCTGTCACAGCCGAAAAATACACTCCAGACACGCCGCTGGCACTAGAGGCACAGCATGGCCGCCTAGTAACAGCCCCGACCACTGCCGCTCGACCTGACCCGAAAAAACCGTAGCAGGAAGCTAGCGAAGTCGTAGTATATATCGTCACAAATAGAACTGCCCGGTAAACCGTAGGCAGAGAGAGAGAAGAGGACAACAAACGAGGGGCTGTGACAAACTATGTATACATATGACGCACGACCATCGACGACTCCTCATCATTAACAGCGGAGAGTCATCAATGTCATGAGGGAGAAGAAAGATTCCCCCCCGACATCACCACCACATTGGACCGGAGATATAGCCTGCATACATTCCTTATCAGGGTACGTTATGTTCAGGGGAAGACGGTAGAGCGACGGCGAAGCTCGGGGGAGGAGGCTGCTTTCCTCTACCGGACGCCGTCTGATCGTAATAATCCCCACCACCCTTTCCTCGTACTCCTCTACCCCTCTCCTGTCTTCTCCTCTCCTTTCCTCCTCCCCTCTTCTGCTTCTCTCCTCCTCTCCTCCTGTACCTTCCTCCTCCTATTGCTACTGGTTCTTTCTCTCTTGCGAAGAAGCACACTGACTAGTGATATTCATCTCCCCAACTGCCAATGATACATCATCATCATCAGCAGCAGCAGCAGCAGCATCAATCGCCATCACCAACAATCATCATCATCATCATCATCATCATCATCATCAAATCATCATCAACAATCATCATCACCATCACTCGTCATCATTCATCATCATCACCATGAAAATCGCATCATCATCATCATCATCATCATCATCATCACCGTCGTTGCCGTCATTATCGTTGTCGTCATTGGTCTTGTCGCTGTCAGCAGCATGATGAAAGTGGGAAGGACAGCAATCGTAAAGAACAATCGCCCTCATCATCATCAGCATAGCGCCTTTGTCCCCAACTTCCTTTTCACGGTGAATCGAACTTCTCCATCATCATCATCATCACAATCTTCCATCATCATCAATATCATCATCATTGTCGCCGCGAGCACATAGGACATCATTGTTGATGAGTGCTCTTTTCACAGAAGTTTCAGAAAGATCGGCGGTTGCTCGTAAGTAGTCCTTTCAAAAACAACAAAAGCGAAGTGGTCAACAAGCCAAGCATAGACAAAGATTAAGGGGGGAAAAAAAGAATAGACAAAGAGATAACACTTCATTGAAAAACCACCTGCTAGACGTCGATTTCTTTTCTTTTTTTTTCCTTTTCCTTTTCGGGAAAAAAAACGAAAAGAGAGGCACAATGACCAAGACCTCGTTAGGTCACACAAATGAATTAAAATTCTGTCACAGACTTCTTTTTCATTAACTCGCAGA